TTCTAATTGCACCCGGGCGTCACTTCAGTAAGTATCCGCCAACATGAACCGCTACCCCACCATCTCCAATGTCTCCATCTATTATCTGGTGCTCTCCGAAACCCCACACCTAACATCTCAGCTAATCGAACGCCGCAACTCCCAATCAAAATCTACAGCACAATCTAATCATACGCCATTGCTGCGACCTCTCGAACTTGACCCCTGGTGATGTTGAACTTCAAGCCGAAACTCCGTCCATCCCTTCACCACACTTCTCCCGGCGAAAGAATGAAACTGATAATAGAAAATGAAACCAACGCCAACTGGAGCTCATTTGTTCCACCATTTCTCTTCGATACTGCGCTCCATTGTACCCCGCCAAGCGTCATCAAGGTCCGATGGGCGAGTAGTTGGTATGTGATTGCAGCAAAGGCCAAAAGCGGATCCGAAGATATAGAGTCAAAAGGCTTTGACATCTCGACTATCGCAGTTGGGCTTGATTCAAGTTTGAAGGTACATCGGTACCTCCAGGCCATACCTAACGGAGATGTTCGATGCTGAATCTCATCCTGGCAATTCTTACAAATTAGTGCCCGCGGCTGGCACAAATCCTCATATCTATTAATACGATGTTAATAATGAAGAGGATATGGTATATCGGATTAACACCAAGTACTAACCGTCCGTATGGTATCAGTGAAAATGGTAGGATCATTGGAATAGTTAGTAATCAACCTCCAGCGCTCTTGAACCACGACAGCATTTGGCCGGCCACTTGTGGCCACGGGTTCACGTTTGGTGCCTTTTTTGCTTCAATGATGATTGTTGGGATTGATTCCGCTACGCCAAAAGGATTCCCAAAAGCACAATCGAACTATTTGCGAGCTCTACAAATTCATCAAGTACTAGTCACCAATAAACCCCACCTTTGCAGTCTCCTTCGCATTCGTCATGTTCCCCTTCATGAGTGCATCCCAGTACACACTGCTGAAATCAGCTTTCATGACAAACACCCTACCAATAGCATATGATACAATCATGTATGGCCGGCCCCAACCATTGCACATGTATTCCACCCACCACGAAAAAATGACTAGATGCATGAAGTGTTGGGTTGAGTGGCCGTAACTGCACGGCCACCACGTTATTGTACTGTAGTGATGACCCATGACGCCCAACTCCGAACGCTGATTAATATCAACGAACTGTGCCAGACTCATAACATTTCTCTCACCCCAGCAATAATGTTCTTGGTTACGTCTCCCCATTGCATGTTGGGATCAGATCATTGCATCTTGAGATCAGATCATCGTCGTCGCTACCTTGATATCTCCCACCTCACTTCACCTCACCTCACCTCACCACCTCGACAGCAACGCCCAGGAAACCCGCCCCCCTCCCCCCCCAGTTGTCAGTGACGGCTTCGAGTCAACCACTGGCGCTGGGCTCAATTGCTCATCTCGCGGCGTGTGGGGACCCGAAGACTGACCAGCCGGGGGGTTGCCAGCGCCGAAATCCAACTTGCTTTGCAACCCTGTAGAGTATTTCCATTGCCGCGGCGGTATGATCCTCACGGTGAACGTGGTTACATAACTTACACGCAGTGGATACATGGAATATTGGATATATAGTATATTCTCATGTTCCAGGATCACTACCTCTCCTTCCACAACCCTCCCCATTGTTATCCTCCAGTGCCAGTATCGGGATGAGGCCCGCTGCCCAGCACAACGGTCGTTCCACAGCGCCTTGTCCAACACCGGATGATTGGCGTTGCATTGTTTCCGGTTCGCAGCCGAATTGCATTGCATGCATAACGCGACGTCCATGGACCAATCGATAACGGTATCACCAACACCGCGAGCCTGCGCGTCTGCGGTTCGAAGGGCATGCGATCGCCAGAGGGTTTGACTTGTCCCCCCCAGCTCTCGAGGTGTTCTGATCGGTCGATACCTATCATATCTATCTGTCTCCTCCAAGCTCCGAGCTTTTTTTTCCATACCCTCGTTATTCCATCTCTCTCCTCTACTTTATCTACATAAACAGAGTACTAGTACATTACTGCCCGGAAACCAGGCTGTGTAGTAGATACTCTACAACTATGGTAGACCGACTCGCTGTAGGTGCTTGCTTCTCCATTTCCATTTCCAACTCCATCTCCAACTCCATTTCCAACTCCATCTCCAACTCCATTTCCAACTCCATCTCCAACTCCATTTCCAACTCCATCTCCAA